AGAGAGAGAGAGAGAGAGGGAGAGGGAGAGGGAGAGGGAGAGGGAGAGAGAGAGAGAGAGAGAGAGGCTATTTTGAATGCCAGCCAGGGACATGGCCTTTGTAGATTAGAAATCCACTTCTTTTTAAAAAGAATTGGCGCTTGGTTCAATTACAGCCGAAGACTTGGTTGGGTGTCCTTCCCTTTCTTTGCATAATTGCCTCCCCGTTTAAAAATTAATATGCTCTTTGCTTTTACTTATTTGGAAGCAGTTTATTGCTGCACTGGAGGTTAACTATATTAAACATTTCCTAATGACATTTCAGTAAAGCAGAAATGGGGTGTTGTTACTTATTGCTATGGGTTCTCTTCTCTTCTCTTTTCTTTGAGACCAGGCAAAAAAAAAACCCAAGGCAATGAAATACGCATTAGTCCAAAACTCAGGAGAAAGCATCTAATATAGGAAAAGGAATACAGCCCCCCAAAATGTGCAGTGGAGTTGCTTAGTTTTAGCAAAACAGACCACTGAAAAAGCACTAAAAATGCAGACCAAGATATCAAGGCAGGCTGGACTGTTTCCAGCTCTTTAAGCTTCTGTTTTCTTGGTCTTTTTTTTTTTTTTTGCAGACTTGAAGCTTAGTTAGAGTTAAACAAAAGAGAGAAAGAAGACATGGTGGGAAGAAATTTGTTGTCTAAATTTTGATAATTGTACCCCAACTCAATCGGGGTCTAGAGCAGAGGTTGGTCGTGCAAAGAGCAAAATATTCAGTGTAGAAACGGACAATTATTTCGGCTCCTGAATAGTAAAATTTACTTTTTAAGACTAGGGTTAGGGTTGCGGTTGTATTTTTGAGAACACGTCTGATTTCATGGAAGACTCATGAAAATTAAAAGGAGGAAAGCCCGAAGCATTGTTCGAATAACAGAATAACAGAGTTGGGAAGGGGCCTTAGAGGTCTTCTAGTCCAACCCTGGGGAAAAAGTAGAATCACTTTCAATGCACAGGCGTGGATAGGGTAACCGTTGATACTCGAGTATCTTAAAAAAATTAAAATTTGGTGATACAACCATGGCACAGAGAGCAAGGAAAGTGAGCTTTGCCAGAAGGGTGGAAATGAGATCCCAGTGTGAGATCAGATCTTAAACTGCTGCATTTAAAAATAAAAATACATATCTGAACGCAATCTCTTTTGATGTCTAAATTTAAGCAACTTAAAAGCTGCAGGGTGCTTATAAGTCTCTAACTGCCTTGAGTTCTGGGTTGAGGTGTAGGTGTAGGATGAAGAGAGAGGGGGGGAGGGAGGGAGGGAGAGAGGGGTGGTGGAGGAGATGGGATAGAAAGAAAATAAAAGGCCTTTACTGAGTTAACGTGATTCCCTGGTGGTGCTCTTGGCAATGCCATATAAATAAAGGAAATAATGATTGGTCTTATTCACTGCTAGCTTGATTTTTCAAGATAAAAAACTTCAGGAGAAATAACAGGGTATCGTGTTCTTTCGAAGTATTGAAGTATTGCTACTTGAATTTGCAGTTTGTACCAAATGTTTAATTTACAGGGTACAGTAATTAAAATCATTACACTGTTCATCCTTTGCAATTAGGTGGAAAAAAAAGCCGCTGATATTTGACACCCTCAGAACCAAGATAGGCTCACTTCAAATTGCTGTATATGAAGGAACGTATGCAGTTATGTAATATTATAGAATAATAGGGTTGGAAGGGACTTTGGCGGTCTTCTAACCCACTACTGAACAGGAGGCCTTATATTATACCAGATAAATAAGGGTGTTTGAGATTTCAATTCTCCCAAATCAGATCTTCTGGAGAAAAAAGGAAATGTCTACAATTATGGATAGCTAGGTGACTCTCCAAAAGCCCCCAGGATCTTTAACAGATTAACAGAGTTGGAAGGGGACCTTGTAGGTCATCCAATCCAACCCCCCACCCCACCCAAACAGGAGACCCTACACCATTTCTGAACAAGTGGCAGTCCAGTCTCTTCTTGAAAGCCTCCAGGGATGAAGCTCCCACAACTTCTGAAGGCAGCTTCTGTTCCATTGGTGGATTGTTCTCCCTGTCAGAAAATTCCTCCTTATTTCCAGGTTGAATCTTTCCTTGGTTAGTTTCCATCCATTATTCCATGTCTGGCCTTCAGGTGCTTTGGAAGATAGCTTGACGCCCCCCGGTCTCTGTGTCAGCCCCTCAAATATTGGAGGACTGCTATCCTGTCTCCCCTGGTCCTTCTATTCACTAGTCTATCCAGGCCCAGATCCTGCAACCATTCATCATATGTTTTCACCTCCAGTCTCCTAATCATCTTGGTTGCCCTTCTCTGCACTCTTTCTAGACTCTCAACATCTTTTTTATAGTGTGGTGGACCAAAATCTGACCACCTGAAAAGAAGAGTTGGTTTTTTTAAAGTGCCTTTCATTCACATTGTTCTGTTTCTACAACAAAGGAAGATGTCCTTCCTTTTAACATTCGTTTAATGAGCAATCAAAGTATCCTGCAGATCAGGGGTGACCAACAGTGTTAAGACTTGTGGTCTTCAAGCCAGGGAATTCTGGGAGTTGAAAGTCCACAAGTCTCAACGCTGCCAAAGTTGGACCACCCCTACTGTACACACATTCTCCCTGTCTTCCTTCTGTTTCCAGCTGTGCTTTCCTTGCCCTGCAGATGTTGCAGATGTTCCAGAAAGAAATAAGGAACCAAGAAATTGCCTCTTCATTTGCACCTCATGCCAACTTCCAGAATACCATAAGCCAACAACAACAACAACAAATCCATTCAAACCATAGTGCACAATCCCAAATCCATGGTTTATTCCTGACCCCTGTTTGCACATCAGAAATAAACCACGCACATTTATTACTGAGCCCAGCGTGGAACCAGCAATCTAGATCACCGGGTCCCTCTTCCTCGCGGCTTTAAATGCTACCGTAAAATTCTAATTCCTCTTAAGTTTTGAGATCAAAAAATCGGCAAGGGAAATGTGTGGAACTACAACATGGAAAGAAGCTGTATTTTTCTTGTGCAGTTTTTTGAAAAGCAAGCAGGGGGACGGAAACCTGTAAAGTGAGACATCCTTCCAATTTTTTGCCTAGGAATAAGTTGGATAGAAATTAAGAGAGGGAGAGGAAAAAAATAAAAACCCAATCCGTGTCTTTTCTTAACCACTGTAGTTATTATTTTACCTCCTGCAGATTCTGATCTCGCTTACCATGCTGTTCTCTGCAGACGGACTCTATGCTTAATTGGTTTGCAGGCTACTCAGAGAACCATGGTTATAGAGAAAGGCCCATCAGTACAATCAATTATTGATTGCCTGACTCAGAGGGAAGGGGAAACCACTTTTTAATCGCTCGTTTCATTTGCATATCACTCTTTGCCCTCCAAAAATGAATCCTGGGCTTTATCATTTAGCACAACAGGAAGGTTCCCGCATCCAACATAACAGAATAACACAGTTGGAAGGGACCTTGGAGGTCTGCTAGTCCAACCCCCTGCTCAAGCAGATCAAATAAATGTTTATCCAATCTCTTCTTGAAAACCCCACAACTTCTGGACGCACAACTTCCGATTAATCGTTTTCACTGTCAGGAAATGTTTTCTTGTTTCTAGCTTGGTTCTCTCCATGATTAGTTTCCATCCATTGTAGTGGTGGTTTTCTACCGGTTTGGCCCGGTTCAGCCGAGCCGGTAGTGCAGTGAGCAGTGGAGACCGAACCAGTTCTCTCCACCACTCTGCTGTTGGACCTACATGCCTGCCCGGGCTCTCATACTCAATTTTATCCTCTGCTTTTGAAGCGCAACTGCTTTGCACGGCACGGAAGAGCGCCGCACGGCAGCTGCTGAGGCGACAAGGAGAGTGCAGGCTTGCAGAAGGTGAGTTGGAATGCCTCTGCGCCTGTGCAAACTTCTCTGTGCCTGTGCAAAGTGCACGTTCGGTGCACACGCTCATGAAAAGTGTGTGCACGCATGCAAAGTGCATCCGCCAAGCCACACCCACCGAATGCAAAGAATGCTTCTTCAAACCTGGCTTTTATCCTCTTGAGGGAGGGGCCATTACCTTGCAGCCTTACTGCCCGTGCCACTGTAACTGCTCTCTCCTATGCGCAATCCTGTGCGCACGCACACTTGGCACAGGCTCCTCGGGAACTTCCTCATCGCTGCTGCCAGCCCCCACAATCTCTGAAGGCGGTAGTTCACTCCCTAATGGTCCTGGCCCCTCATCTGAGTCCTCGCTCTCCTCAACCGTCCGCACCTGCTGCCGGATAACCACAACAGGTCCACCCAATTGGACTGCAGATAATTCATGTAGCACCTCAGATACTGACTCCCTGACTGGGAATCGAACCCGGGGCCGTGGCGGTTGAGAACCAGGAATCCTAACTGCTAGACCACCAGCTGCCTATCTTTCCCTCTTGACCATGGCATCCGTTTATAACGGGAAAGCTGCCCATCCATACTGGTCCTGCTCCCAAGCATGGGAAACCCAAGTCAACTTACCTTTCTTTTCGTAGACGAGTTTCTCTCCGCTCCTGCCTGTGCTGTCCAGGGCCACCCCGGTTTGACTCCCGAACTCGCCGTCTCGGTAGCCGAGCTCCGGATGCAGAGGGTTCTCTTCCTCCTCGTAGTCGTAGTCATCCAAGATGGGGGTCTCGCGGATGGGCATGCCGATGACCGAGGTGTGACCTTGAAGGCGTGCACTGCGGAAGCTCTCCCTGCCCTGGGAGCCGATAAGCACAGAGGGGATGTAGTGGATCTCATGGGTGGCCTCGGAACTGGCACTCTTGTGGGGGACACGGCGTTGTTTGTACCAACGCCGTTGGGCGTACAAGGCTATGGTGAACACCAGCAGCAGCAGAAGGAGAGCAATCAGTCCACCCTAAAGAAAAAACAAAGGGAAAGAGGACTTCAATAGCGTTCCCTCGATTAGTTCTCAACCCCAAAACAGGAGTAGTTGGAAAACATCTCTCTTCCTGTAATGCAATGCATCACTGCTTCTACATCAGAAACAGGTCTTTCTATTCCAAAGGCTAAAACATATAACGAACGGTTGTTGGAATTAGGTATGTCTAGTTTGATGAAAAGAAGGACTAGGGGTGACATAATAGCAGCATTCCGATATCTCAGGGGGCTGCCCCAAAGAAGAGGGAGTCAAGCTATTCTCCAAATCACCTGAGGGCAGGACAAGAAGCAACGGAGGGAAACTAATCAAGGAGAGAAGCAACTTAGAACTAAAGAGAAATTCCCCGACAGTTAGAACAATTAATCAGTGGAACAACTTGCCCCCAGAAGTCGTAAATGCTCCAACACTGGAAGTTTTTAAGAAGACGTTGGATAACCATTTGTCTGAAGTGGTGTAGGGTTTCCTGCCTAGGCAGGGGGTTGGACTAGAAGACCTCCAAGGTCCCTTCCAATTCTGTTATTCTATTCTATGCTATGCTGTGCTATGTTATTCTATATTCCAGTATTTGAGGGGCTGCCCCAAAGAAGAGAGGGTCAACTTATTTTCCAAAGAACCAGAAGGTAAGGCAAGAAGCAATGGATGGAAACTAATCAAGGAGAGAAACTTGCTAACAGTGAGGACAATTAACCAGTGGAACAGCTTTGCCTCCAGAAGTTGTGGGTGCTTCATCACTGGAGGTTTTTAAGAAGAGATTGGACAACCATTTGGTTTGAAATGGTATAGGGTCTCCTGCTTGAGCAGGGGGCTCGACTAGAAGACCTCCAGGGTCCCCTTCCAGCTCTATTCCGATTGAATTGCCAACCCAGTGCACCAGTGCAAATCTTCTCCTTCATCAGAAGACGAAGTGTAGAGATTTGACAAGGAGCTCAACCCAAGCACGTATCGAGAAAATTTGGATTATCCTGTTTAAAGGTAGTTAAGAACATGCTTACTGGATCCAAATTAAACCCTTCTTTGCAAACCACAGTAAGTGCAGTTCCAGTGTGTGTGTGTGTGTGTGTGTGTTTAAAAATCAACGCTTCAAAAACTGCATTGGGTTTCTCAGTTTTTTTGTTTTGAAATTCTTTGCTTTTTGTCCACATTTGTATTCTCCAAAACACTCTTCATTAATTTCGGTACAGCAGCAGACAGAATCATGACAAGAATAGCCAAATAAGAATAACAGTGCAATAATAAACAATAACCCCAAGGGGCATATTATTTGGATTTTTCTCAGATGTCCTTGGTTTTGCTCTTTGTTTTTTAATAATAGCAAGAACGTTAAAAACTCGGACCATCCGATAGGGTTTAAGGTAAACATGCTTAGTATTTTGTTACTGTACTGTAAAACTAATGCTTTCAATCTCCAAATATTTATGGCCAGCATTATACAGATTCAGAGGAGAATATGATAAAAGCAAAATAACAGAATTATAGAATCTCAGAGTTGGAAGAGACCTTGGAGGTCTTCTAGTCCAACCCACTGATTAATCATTAATGCATTGAATAATTCAAAGCAATTGATCGCCTACTGATATTTACGGACTCAGCAGATAGATATACTCTAGATAAGGTGAAATTTTGTACTTCTGTTTAAGAATCTACAGCCAAGAATTATATACACCCACTTTTAAAAAGAAACCTCTTTCTAAATCCTGGGAGAGAAAGCTATTTTACAAATCCCTGAGAATTCAAATCAACCACACAACCAACCAGCAATGGCACTGCCCCTAAGTCAACCCATGCAACTCTCTCAACCAGCACATCACCTTCTCATGACCTCCCCACTGCAAGACCCTCACTTGATGTGAGCCATACCTGACCCCAAACCCTCACCTGATGTGACCCCTCATGACCCATCACAAGTCCCTCGCCTGAGGTGAGCCACACCTGACCCATCTCACGACCCTCACCTGTCATAATCCTGCCCTCCATCACAAGACCTACTGACCCTATAAAGCCCTTATAAGCAGGACACTGACATCCCCTAAAACTCCGCTGAAGATGGAACCCAGCCTGGTAATGAAATGTTCCAAAACCAACCAACAACCTCGTAGAACTAAAACCTTCCACCCTCAACCTCCCCACAAGCTCCACCTGATATTCACCACCATCGCAAAGCTATTTTAACCGGAGGTCCATGGTCCAGCCCGGTACCTAAGAAATCAGCTTATTTTGCAAAATGAAAGAGAAGAACGAGAAGGAGGAGAAGGGGGAGGAGGAAAAGGAGGGAGGAGGAGGAGGAGGAAGAAGAGGAGGAGGGAGGAGGAGGAGGAGGAGGAGAAGAAGAAGAAGAAGAAGAAGAAGAAGAAGAAGAAGAAGAAGAAGAAACATATTTTTTATGTCTGTATTAGGTACTATGCCAACTGTTTACACAAAGGGCATCAATTTAATACTAGATAAAGCTCTCCTAAGATACAAAATATGCGCAAGAGGGCAGAATTACAGCTGCCGTGGGAAGCTTTGAAAGTTCTTTCACTTGCTGTGAATAAAAAATAATCAGAAAGGAAAGGGAGGGAGGGAGAGAGAGAGAGAGAGAAAGGTCAATTTCCATATAGCTTCATCATAAAACCCGAATTTCATTTCGAAGAAGATGGGCCCGAAATCCTAACAGGATGATAACCTGTCTGACTAAAATATGCAAGCCCGTGTTTTACAAAGTGCTTATTTTGAGAGATGTTTGCAGGGTTTGCAAAACAGGTTCCTGGTCATGAAAGTTACAAAGAAGCAGGGGAATATGAAGGAGAAAAAAATAAGAGGAAATCGCTTCCTATTTTGGGGAGGAAAATTAGCCGTCCAGAGACCTATTCAAGGCTCTGGAATTGAGGTGTCTCCAAAGCATCATTGTGGCTTATGAACAAGTTGCTGACGGGAAGAAAATATATTCATCCTTAATGGAAACCTTTGGGTAAAAAATACCTATTCATCTGCAAGTATATGAGATGCCTCTATTCCTTTATTTCTCTTTCTTTCTCTTTCTCGTTCTTGTTTTCTCCTTTCCTCTCTCTTTCTTCCCCTCTCTCTATTCTGTCCTCTCTGTTTCCCTCTCTCTCTCTCTGTCCTCCTCTCTCTCCTTACCTCTCTCTCTTTCTCTTTCCCTCTCTTTCTCTTTCTTTCCACCTCTCTATCCCCCGTTCTGTCCTCCTCTCTCTTTCCTTCCCTCTCTCTATCTTTCCCTCTCTCTGTCTGTCCCCCTCTCTTTCCTTCTCTCTCTCTCTTTCTTTCTCTTTGCCTCTCTTTCCCTCTGTCTCACTGCTTCTCTCTCTCTCTTTCCTTCCCTCTCTCCGTTGCCCATTCTGTTTATATAAAAGGAAAAGTATACAAAGCTATATTCTAAGTAAAGCAGGCAATCATTCACGGACATTAGCATTAAGAAAGTTCCCCAGATGCTTTTCTATGAATTCTAATCCACTTTGCTAAGAGAATAAAAAACAGAATTTTCGTCCATTTGTTTAGCTTAAGAAAAAGTCAGACTGGTTGGAGTCCATTGGGTCAAATTAAGAACGGAATAGGTGGATTTAAGTGATAAGGTGTCTTTTTTTTTTTTCCAAAGGTAACTGGACTTTCTTTGTTTTCCCTTGAAGACATTTTCCTTCTCATCTGAGAAACGTCTTCAATTCTTTGTTGTTGTTTTTCCAATCTAGATTATGCAGTGAAACTGCGCTGGAGGAAAGCGGGTCGTCTCCAAACCAGCATAATTTCCACAAAAGGTGCCTTCACCTATCTCAAGGAATAATCATGAAGCTTCATTAAAACCCCGGGCTATGCAGAAGATGAAAATAAACTTTTTTAAAAAAAATATTAACCCCCACCTTGAACCTTGATCCTCCCTCAACTGCAGGGAATCTGATTAACCCAAGACACAAGGAAAGTCACAGCAATTGCATATCTCAGAGACCTCTTCTCCTGAAGGAGCAAGAAGGCAGTTCACGGCAATGAATACTGCTTAACCTAAATTTCCAAAAGGTTGCACGAAATTGTAGCAGCAGCAGTCTTTGTATGCTCTGCAAAGGATCCCCAAATCCTTGATGTTTGGTAGACAAGGTTCTTGCGCACCAAGCTCAAATCTAAAGTTCAAGGATGTGTGAAAGACGTCTCCCTCCCTCCCTTATTCTCCTTCCTTCCTTCTTTCCTTCCTTCTTCTCCCTCCCTCCCTCTTATTTCCATTTCCTTCCTTCCTTCTTTCTCTCCCTCCCTCTCATTTCCATCTCCTTCCTTCCTCCCTCACATTTCTATATCCTGGGTTCTTTCCTTCCTTCCTCCTCTGCTTCCATCTTATTTCCATCTCCTTCCTTCCTTCCTTCCTTTCACTTTCCTTCCTTTCTTTTCATACCTTCCATCTTCCTTCCTTTCTCTCTCTCATTTTCATCTCCTTCCTTCCTTTCTCCCTCACATTCCCATCTCCTTCCTTCTTTCCCTCTTTCCTTCCTTCCCTCTCTCACTTCCTCTGATTTCCACCTCCTTCCCTTCCCTTCCTTCCTCCATCCCTCCTTTCTTCCATCCTTCTCATTTCCATCTTCTTCCTCTTTCCTTCCTTCCTTCCTTCCTTCCTTCCTTCCTTCCTTCCTTCCTT